TAAAGTTTACCTTTACTTTTCATTTATGTATTAACCTATTACTTAATATTTACCTTTAATCAAGTGTGAAAGAAAATATGAAAAAATGACTTTTTCAGAAACAATAAATAATTAAATCCAAAATGGAAAACTAAATTAACTTTAACCAAATTTGAGCAGACTTTAACGGTTTAAAATTAATTTATTAGGATATATTCCAAAGGCTGAACTTGATTCTTCATGAACTATCTGTAATATGAGACTAAATATTTTTTAAATTGTGCACATTTACTTAGAATTTGCTATGATCTGTTAGAAAAGATTAATCCTGTTCTGTAGGTCTTGATGCAGCATGTTTTGTTCAAGCACATTTTATAAATATTTACTAAAATAAACAAGGCAAACTTCCATTAACTACTGTATTTTCCAGTGTATAAGTCGCATCAGTCAAAAAAAGCATCATGAAGAGGAAAAAGCATGTAACACTTCAGCGTATAAATCACATTTATTACGTGTCACCGCTGACCCGTTGCTTATTATGCATTTATTTAATGGTTAAAGAGGTTCATTTCGCCTGGGTGGCATGGTGCCATCCATCCATCCATCCATCCATCCATCCATCCATCCATCCATCCATCCATCCATCCATCCATCCATCCATCCATCCATTGCGGCTGGAGTCTCCAGTGTTTCTCAGCCTGCACCAGCTGCGTGAAGCGAATGCACAAAGAAGGACTCACTGTTGAACGTCTTCAAAATTTAAAGCGTCAGTCAAAAATTGCATTATGAATATGGACAAAAATTTATATAAATCGCAGGACTGACAAATTTATGCAAAAAACTGCAACTTATATGCCGGAAAATACGGTAGTTGGTTTTGAATAAATAAGTAGCTTAAACGGAGGCTGTGCAAATAAACTTTAGGTATAAATACATTGCATTCCCTATACTGATTATTATACACTGTCATTAAAAATAATTAGGATGCTTGTCTTTTAGCAACATTGCTTGGACATAGAGAGTGGCAGTGAAAATCAAAGTGAAGTTATATTTTTATTTTTCATGCCACTGAGATATATTTTTTCTTCTTGGAAAGAGCTAATCTTTCATCTGATCCGTCATGTTTACAGGTGAACTATACATATCAACAAAACATTTAGAAATACCTGTCCTGACTTTATGACATAGACATTTACAGAACTCGTTGTTCTGACAAGCAGGTTCTGAATTGTCTCAAGAAGTTTTCTACATTGTTGTTACATCGTCACTCGTTTAATGAACAGAAACAACAAAGCAAGAGCGAACAAGACTGAGCTATTTCAGAGATGGATCAAGGACTATTGTTGGTAAAATAACTTAATTTCACTTATGTATGTTTGCTTTTTAATGGCAAAAATAAGAATGCCTTTATTTCTATCTTAAGTAAAGTTATTTTGAAGTTGATGCACTAATGCCTTATACATTACTTTCTTGTAACATTTATAACATTTGTTTTCAGTGTTCCTTGTCATTGTTTTCCTTATATTGTTTCGTCACTCAGAATTTCACAGCTGTGACCCATCTGCTCATCACTTCAGCAGATACTTCACTAATTATCCCTTCTGGTTTCAAGGTCAAGGTCAAAGTGTCTTTATTGTCATTCGCTATACATACATAAATACATACATACATACATACATACATACATACATACATACATA